ACAAAAAAATCGATTTGGATATTTATGCATAGTTGTATAGCCCAATATATCTGCTTTCGAATGCACTATGATTTATTGGTTTTACGATGGTTTTTGAGGGTTTTACAGCGGTTTTTCTGAGGCACCCGACATCAAAAACTGATTGATTTTTTATGGTTTTTCCGTGGGAATAACGCTTACATATGGGAAAAAGTACATCGCACATGTCTCTACATGCGCTCATTCGATTCGCCATAGCCGATAACCCACGACGTTGTAGGGGCAGGTCTTCTCTACATTTTGACATCATCTCGAGGTCCGTATCATTAAAATTGAAAACAAAATCTTTGACACACGGACACCTACTTTTTGACCCTTGCTGTTACAATAACTCGCGAAAAACTCAATATTATGAGCTTAAATTTTTACTGGTTACTATCAGTGGCCAGATACATATTCAATAAAAATTTCAGTAAGATTGAGTGCTCTGGGAAAAAAAAAATTTTAGAGGGGAGGGGCCCTTAACCAGAAACTTCAATTTTATTACTTCACTCATATGTAGTATAACATCTTTCTACAAAAAAGAAATGTTTCGAGATCTAAAGTCAGGGGGGCGTAGCTAGCATCTCAGAGCAGGGGGGCGGTCCTGCCTAAAAAAACTTTTGTTCTTTCCAAAAAAAAGTTTGTTTTGAAGCGCGAAGCCTTAAACTTTTCTAAAACCAGGGGATGGGGTGACCACTCCTCAGTAACTACGTCTCTGTCTAAGGTTTATCTTCATTATATGTTGTGTAAAACTGAACTCTGTATCGGATGATATATTTTAATCACTCTTAGCTCTAATGTCAAGGGTCAAATATTGTGATAAAAATTGACTTTTTTGGAAGACAGAATTTTTATCAAACAAATATTTCTATTATGGAGCAATTCTCCTTCAGCAAGCTGATTTTTTGATAAAAAAAATCAAATTCGCATTTTTTCCATTTGTAGATAGATTGACATGTTCCCTTTCAGAATCTGTGTCGCTTTATACCCTACAATTGATTATTATAGATCTTGACAAAGTTTTCTAAAAGTCCTGATAAATAGAGTTGTCAAAAACTGCTATTATTCTTACTCTATGCTTCATTAATTCTTTTTTGAATACATAAATTCTAGAGCTTCTCTTTAAAATAGTATTTATTACGACTCTGTGCGATATTTCATTGAAAAATTGTAAGGAATGTCCTAAAAGTCCAAAATTAAACCATTTGATGGATACACCGCATGTTTTTTTCGAAAACAACTTTGACGCTAGAGTCGCATTTACATTTTTCTCAAAATCGCTTTCATTTCTGTGAAAAATAATGACATAGATCTATTTTTTACGGTGATTTTTAAGCTTGCAGCTTCAATTATTAGTTATGAGACATCAAAACGGAAAATTCTAGACACGATCACGGCAGTTTCTAGATTTGAGTGCTTTACTTTAATTTTAAAACAAATTATCTTTGAAGTTATCATCGACTCTTAGAAAAATGTACTATAATAACAGCCCTATCTTGCATTTGACACCAATAACTCGATGTCAATTCCATATTTTGAGCTTATCTTTTTCCCATAACCTACAAATCTTATAATCTATATTCTGCGATAGTTTTATTAACATCGGTTCAACCGTGTAGAAAACAGTGTTTCGGAGAAGATCTTCCTTATATATCTGGTTGTAACGAATATTTTACACAAAACATTCTAAATATGCGTCAATATAGAGGGAAATATTCACTTCTGTCTCTGTTTTTCGTCTATAAGATTTTGTTACGATTAGAAAACGACAATTACCAACGAAAAGAGATTGATATGCAAAAAAGTTGTGATGTACGCCTACTATACGAAAGATGCATACTGTGCCCTCCTAGTCATGACACATGGTACAGAAGAGTTTTGTTTTTCAGTAATGATATAATACACTCTTAATCTCTTCTAATTCAACAAATATTATTGGTTTTTATAAAACACATTCTTTTCTTCGAAATACTATTAAAGATTTGTTGCTACAAGTTTTTGTTTTTTACAATATAACATACTAATATGTAGGACAATGTTCACATGAGCTCTCACAGAACTCTTTTTCTTTTTCTCTGTTGATTAATTATAGTCAGGATGAAACCTTGACTTGTTTGTTATCTAGAGATACAGCTGTTATATTAGAGAAGTATAAATATCTATCTGTCCATACACAAATTGGTTAATCATAAAATAATGATGACACTATCATCAATCAATATGTTTTGAACATAGACAAACGATTTTTTATTTCTTAGTTTCAACAACAATTTTCCAATCTCATTTAGGAGTCAAACGTTTTTCTACAATGAATATTTCAAGATTAATTTTTGTGATGTCATTATTTTTCTCATTTTTAATTTCAGATAACTTTATTCAAAACTTAGAATGTTAGTAAATATATATTTTTCTCCCTCTCTCTCTTTTTCTCCTGTTTTTTCCACAACTTGATGCTTGATTGCTGAAATTATTGGCTTATTTGTCTAACTTTAAAGAAAAAGTAAAGAATAGAATAGAATAGAAGAGAATAGGCAAGATGAGAGAAGTGAGGAAAGACGTAACTTTTCATCATGATAGAGTTGATAGTCAATACGAGAAACACAATTTATAGTTCTTCATTGACAACTTGTAGAGTATCTATTAATGTAAATGATTTTAAAAGCACGTATTTTTCTCGAAGCTTCTCAAAAGAGATACAAATTCGTCTTTAATTGGCTTTGTACGATCAACCAACATCAAAAGGGGACATTAAAAACTGATATGTGTGAGTTTGCAAAAAAAAACAAAAAACGTATCTCTTTTAAGACCAACGAGGGAAGGTCCCCAAGTGTGACCCTCAGTTTTGAATGAGATACATACCAGTTTGTAGAGCTCAACGGGCTGATTACGGTGGCATAAAGCATTTTTTCCCATGGCGCTTGAAGATCCGTTTTCCAGAAACTCTAAAAAAAACACAAATCCTTTCTTAATGAAGCATAATTATAGTGCGCACATTTCTGATTAAAATGAGACATCTCCCAGCTCTATACGACCTTTCTTTGCAAAGTTATAGAATTTACAAGAAGAGCCTTAAATGTTTATTGTCAGAAGAAGAAATTAATTTAAGGCTCTTCTTGTAAATTCTATAACTTTGCAAAGAAAGGTCATATAGAGCTGGGAGATATCTCATTTTAATCAGAAATGTGCGCACTATAATTATGCTTCATTAAGAAAGGATTTGGTTTTTTCTTAGAGTTTCTGAAAAACTGATTTTCCGGAAAACGGATCTTCAAGCGCCATCGTAATCAGCCCGTTGAGCTCTACAAACTGGTATGTATCTCATTCAAAACTGAGGGTCACACTTGGGAACCTTCCCTCGTTAGCCATTTTTCTTCTATACGAACTAAAAATACATTCACTTATTATTTTGTACATAATCAAAGATTACATTTTTTTTTTCTTTTACATTTCAGACATTGGCTAACTAGTTAGTGTATTTTTTACCTCTTTATAATAGAAATTTTGCTTACTCATTACATATATAGAAAGAAATAGAGTATATCATCATAAATCAACTATAAAAAAAACAAAGAATATCATCTATTTCAGCATTCTCTTTTAAACAAGATATATTTTTTTTTCTAAAAGATTATAAGTTTTCGATAAAAATTCTCGCCTGTGTTGTTAATAGATAGTATACAGATGTTTGATAACGAATTATGATTCTTTTTTTGTTTTTTTTTTGAAGTTGTTCGCTCCAGTATATATTTTGTTTTTGTTCTGTTAGTCTACTGTAAAAGAGAGAAAAATGAAGCCAAACTATTATTTTTCTTATTGATCTTTATTTTAAAGACGATACGTCATGTTATTGATACCTTTATTATGGTGTCGAATACTCATGTATACAAGTTTAGTTGTATGTTTAATTCAATTAATTCAATTATTTATTGGACTCTATAATCGAATTAAAAATTGGAAAAAATTTGCTTTTAATCTTTATCTATTTCATCATTTACTCGTTTGTATATGTCGATCTTTATTAACTTTTTTCTATGTTTATTTTGCTTGTTCAAACAAATGTTTCCAATTTGAATTAATAACACATTGTCTTCTTCTTATATCATCATTTGATATTATTTTATTTGTTATTAGTGAATCAGCTCATTTTTGGGATTCAAGTGTACAAATAAAAAGTTCACTTTATAATTATTCTTGTTTAATATTTGGATTATGTTTTATATATTTTATTTCAAGTTTTTTTCTATCAATTCATTTAACAATTGGTGGTAAAAATCCATTTATTATTGAATTATGTTTAGTATCAGAGAAAAATACTGAAAAATTGTATGAAACTGAAATACTAAATCAAACATCATTTATTCCTACAATTATTTCGTTCGTTTTATTTGTTCTTATTGATATTTTAACATTTTCATGGATAAGAATAATATATAAAGAAATTTATGAACTAAAACGTAAAAGTTTAGCATCAGTATTTTTTCAATCACTTGTATTTACAAAATATAAAGCACAAGAACGTTCACATTTAGTTGATTTAAGTTTAAAACGACTTCAATCAGCGATACTATTCGTTTCTAGTAATATTGTTGTCATTATTCCAATTCTAATCGTAAAATTATTTCAATTAACATTAACTACTTCTATTCGATTAATTTTAATATTTTTAACATCTTTACCTCTATGTGAATGTTTAACATTTTTATTTTATGAAGAATTGAAGCTAACAAATGTGTGCTTTCATACATTATTAAAACGATGCGAAAAGGAGGAAGTGTACATTCTTAAATCAACATCCAAAACTGATTGTCGGTACAGAGAAGAAATTGGAACGAAATTAAGTTCGTATAGAGAAATTAAATTGTGATGTTCTATTCTTCATAAGAATTTGAAATAAAGTTTTATAGAGAAAAAATAATCAAGTTTTATCAGCTATCAATAGAATGCGAGAAAAAACTAGATTTCAAATATGTTCTGCAAAAGATGAAAAAGTCGATCAAGTAAAACTGAAATCGAACACAGTAAAACACAATATATTGTAGAATTTAAATGAAAATTTATCTAGCCGATTTTCCTAAAATAATGTCAAAGAAGAAACATAAAGATTTTTTCATTGATATTTGAATTTTTTCTGTAAGGTTATTTTGATATTTTTAGTATAAGATGATTACAATGTAGGTATGTTAATGTATGAGTTTCACAAATGACCGAATGTTATGGAACGAAATATAAGTTACTGTATTTTACCATTATCTGGTTTACATGACTAGGAGTCCTCTGTCACAATGAAAAAGAAAGTAGCGTCGGATTTTTTTCCTGCGTCTGTCTGGATCCAACTGTATCACACGCTTTTTCGGGAAATGCTTGACTGAAACTGATCTAATATTTGTCGAAACGCATCATTAAAAATCAAATTTTTTCGCTTTTTCTGCTAAAATTTGGACAAACCTATGACTTTAAAGGGAAGTTGGATTTTCTCAATGAAACATTTAAACTTTATTAGCATTGGATATCTTTATAGAGTATGCTATAGTGAGATGCGCGATCCTTTCATTATGTTCAACAAACTTTAGAGTGAAGCAAAAGTCGATAAGTTTTGATAAATGGTAAATGATAATAGGGGACTGACTGGACGTATTAATTTTACAAAGCATGTGTCCTAAATATCTGTCTACCAGTCTCAATGGGTTAAAGACAATGTTCTTAATTAACATGTGACTGTCAAGCAGCTGACTCATAAGAGAACTAGGTACAAAGTGGCGTTCCGTAAGATAAGAAAGTCGATCTCCAAGGCACTGAAAGATCGTACTTAATGTTTTACATATAGAATTACGAATAACTGTTAATCTCAAATTTAAACGATCATAAATCTTTACGGTCAGGAATAATTACGAGCGAATGATTCGAGCGAGAAAAGTCATGATCAACTATTGCATATAACAGAGTCTATGATTAATTAATTACACATTTTAGTTCATGTACGGCATCTTATATCTCTACTCATAACATATACTCTATATGAAGTGTCATATGACGAATCAATTATATCTTGAGGAGAAAACTTGTAGAATTCTTGGAGAAAATTGGTTGACTTTCGAGATTCATTAGATAATAATTAAATGTGAGTATTTGGAATAAAAATCAACGTATGTTTCATTTACAACTATGAAACTATCAAATAATTATTTTCCTAAATCTCTTCGTTCAAAAATAGCTGAGAACAAATGTCTAAGTGGAGAGGGAACGTGCGTCAAGAAAGAAAAAGAAAACAGAAGAAGAATCATTGAATGAAACAGAAAGTTTTCTTCTGTTAGAAAGTTCTAAATCTTCTATCGTTTTACGCAACCAACTTTAAAATTGAACCAACTTTTTCCCTAATTGCTAGAAGTCCAGATATCATTTTTCATGCCACATATACGGTAAGTTTGATAATAAACTTCTAACATTGACTTACACAACTGAGCTGTAATATCTTGCAAAGTAATTGAATAACAAATATTTTTGACATCCGTTATTTTATCTTTATTCCAGAATATGGCGAGTTTGTTGAACTTCGAGATATGGTCGCTCCAAAAGGTATCATTAATATTTTTGCATTTTTTATCTTTGAATGTTGTATCATTGTGTATCAACAAACGTGCGTATCTTTGTACGGTTTTAGTTAATATTGTTTTATCGATCAAAATATGATGTCTAACTGGTCTGTTATTAGTAGTAAATGTAGTGCTTATATGCTTTCTTTTTTTTTACTATCTATTTATGCATTCATGCACGTAGTGTAATTTAGAAAAAAATATTATTTTCTCTATACCAACTACGTGAAACCATCCTGAATCTTAAAAAAAAAAAGATCAGACAACATATTTATTTATCTGTATGAACAGATAGGTCAACGCATCGGCTATAGAACTACTATGAAATGGCATGCCATAAGAATAACTGGAACATCGGTTATCCACTATCGCCGTCTCGAGGTGTTTTTATTAAAAAATTTATAAAGCCACTTTAAATTTACTACGGTAGATGAAATAACCTATTTTAGGCTACTTTCATGCAAACTTCAAAAATTCGTCACTCAGCCACAAAATCTAGTCTGAATTAGGCTATTTCAACAGATCTAGAGTAGTTTTGTGGAGATACTCCATAAGATCTAGTTTCAAAATAGGTTTTAAAAACTTTTTCTATTTTCGTCATCAAAGTTTAGGTCTTTCCATTTGAATACCATCGTGACTGGATTTTTAAAACGCATATTTTTTCTACGAAATAAGGCGTTAGCAATTATTTTCTTTAAAGGTGACAGTAATACAAAACGCAACAAAATGATTTTTTCTGACATGATCACTTAACGTCAGTTTTTTTGCAAAAAAATCAATGTCATATTTAGAATCAGCGTCAAATAACTGCCCATGCAAAAACGACCCAATTTTTTAGATTATTTCTACATGGGTGTGTCGAACGACTTTTCTCTCTCTACATTTCTAGATTATTTTTATTTTTGAGCGAAAATCTCGTCGATTTTCTGATAGAAAAATTTAAGAAAACTCAAAGCTGTCAGTTAGAATCGTGAGAAACGTTATTCAGTTCAGTTTTTTGACGCTGATTCTAAATATGACATTGGTTTATTGGTGACAATCGAGAATTATGTATGTTTTTTCATATTATTTTTGTTTATGTTGGTTTTTTTTAAAAAAATTATTCTTCTAGTAACTGTCAATATAAATTAAAATCGATACATACTTGTTAGAATCACATGAAAAAAATTAACTGAAAAAACGATACAGGTTTGGAAGATGCACCACAAGTAATTGAGTGGTTCAGCTCATGATTGCCTAATGCATTGCTCATTTTAGGCGCTAATTATGTCAACTTTATTCTTTTATATTCAGTTCTAGTTGTTGAGTCAGAATAAAAAACTGATAACGTTGAAAATTTTTACTCAATATTATCTAATTTTAAAAATAAGTGAAAAATGGCTTTAAAAAATTATTGTCATTTTTCTAAGTGAATCGGTGAGCTTTATCCAACTATGTTAAAAAAAACTTTTGTTGCATTTTTGAATTATTAAAATCTTAATTCTATACTCATTTAACAACAAATTTCTAACTCTAAATATGACGTTAACAAAGCTAGCATGATTTCGCATTGTATTGGTCAATAACAGTACATTCCAACTATTTCACTGTAATGATGTTTTTAGTAGACAAAATGTAAACATCAACAAAAACTAATTTGCTTGCGTTTGTTTCTACGTTGATCTACAATAAATTTCGATTTGCTTGGCGTATGCATATTATAGGTTATTGTGAATTTTATTTAAAAATTATTTTTTTCTTCATTCAAGTCACAAAACCGCATACAATTCAACAATGTCTGCCAAATCTTCACTCACTGGGAGAACTTCTACTGCCATGTTTATGTCGACAAATATTTACCTTGACAGTTATATTGAGTTTGTAAGTATTATTTATTAAAAAGTTCTTTTTTAGTCAGAATATTATTTATTCTATCTTAACATTCAATTTCAGATTATGTATGTTGGTCAGTTATACATTAGCAGGAAGTCAAGCGTATGCCTCATTATTTCATGTCAGGTAAAACTGGATAATAATTATACATTCTCTTGATAACATTTCATTTATTTTAAATATAGATATTTGAGAATGATACCTGTTTTTTGTTGGACATGGACGTTGTGTATTGTATTTCTTCATCAGTTCATTCAACCCATTATATCAGTATTAACATTTATAAAAGGAAGTTTATTTTCAGCAACTGGTACGCTCTTTGAATGTGAAAGAAAATGTCAAAGATAACTGATATTTTTAATTTATTTAGTTGTAATCACACTAATGGTTGGTTTAAAAATTCAAAATTCTGTTACGCATAATTATAAGTATATTGGCGATTCATTTCTAATGAGTACAATTGCATTAGGTAGTGGCAAGGAGAAGAAAAAAATTACATACAATGGTAGCTCTTAAATATGTGGTTAACTTTTTTAGGTGGACTGATGAATGTCATGCCATTAATGTTTGCCAAATTGAAACAAACACGATCTGAGGTACGAGAAATAGGCATATATTATACCAACCAGAGACCGGCGGCACGGGCTGGGCCGGATCGAACTAAGCCCGGAAGCTTTTAAGATCGTTTGGGCCGAGCCGAGCTTGCTTGGGCCTCAAATTTTCTTTGTCGGGCCGGGCCGAGGACTTCTCTTTCTTTCCGAGAACATATAGTTAAATACATCAATAAAACCATTATGTTTAGTACAAAGATGTGTAATATTTCTTTTTCTAATATGTAGCTGATTAAACAGATTATCTAGTGCATACAAAGATAGGAAAAAAATAATAAAAATTTAAAAGATAGAGTTGTGTTAGAAGCACATTTACAGCAATTTGTCAACCAAGCCTATTAGCGTTAAAGATACAAGAGACTGTAAACAAATAAAAAAGGCTAGGCCGGACTCGGACTTCCACTTTTTGTCCATGGACCGGACCGGCCCTCAAATTTTTAATATTTGTCTAGTCGTGCTTTAAGTTTTCTTTGTTGGGTCGGGTCGGCCAAAAATTTTCAGCCCGTGTCGATCTTTGATGCCAACTATTAGGTGAATGATACATATTTTTTTCTTTTTTAAGATAATTGGTTTCAATCTGGCATGCTTTTTTGGTTTAACAACGTGTGTCATTTTAAATCTTCTTTGGTACGTACAATGCCACATATGAGATTAAGTTAACCACTGAATTTTTGAACAATTAAAGATAATTCATTCCATATCTCTGAACCATTTTGAAAAGATAAATGATTGGATTTCCTAGTCAGCTTTTTGGATTTGGTCATACGTAATAAAAGAAACATTTTTTGCAAGCCGCCCTACAAAAATAATTTTATACGCCATCGCAAAAAAAAATGACTGGCATCGGCGATGCGCACCGGTGCGCATACCATGTCATAATCATACGGCATTGCCTCGGCACTTCTCTTATGAGAAGTAAAATATGTGGGCCGAAAAGATATTCAAAATATCAAAATCTAAAAGTTTCGCACTCGTGCGCATCGACACTCAGTAGAAAATGTATTCGGCATAAGTGCACACTCGTGTACAATCAATGCCGACAAAAACAAATTTTGTTAGAGGCCAATTTATTATTGTGTTTCATGATGTTGTCGTTATGATTAGTTTTTATTTGTATTTTTTCTTCTTCTAGGTGTTGGTCAGTATTGGCTGTTGTTCCCCAACATAGTGTTTGTTTACCGAATGAGTTGAATCAGACAATAAATTGGGAATATAATTTAATAAATGAAACACAAGAACAACATCATTGTATCTATACACCCTCATTAGAGAAGTATGTGTTCTTGCATCTTGAATTTGATATATATTTGATTTTTCAATGCTATTCAAAGAGCTGAAGAAAATGGTGAAATATCAACTGTGCCATTAAGTACAGTAAGTTTTTTTGTTAAATTTTTATGCATATATTTCCGTTATTCTTTATTCTGATTTTAGATACTTGATGATTATAAATATTTTTCATGGATATCATTGATTGTTCAATTATTTATTGTTATAAGTATATCCGTATCTTATATGACAATGGGTTCAGCATTGCATCACACAAGTAATACTTTAACGTACATTCTCTCTTCAATATCAAATATTGTTTTCTGTTGTAGTTAAAGGCGTAGTTGACTCGTATTGGAGTCCAACGATCGAAGCAGAAACAGATTTAAGAAAATATGGAAATCTATTTCAATATTTCACTGTGAGAAAGTGAGTAGAATATGCATTATTATTATCCATATCATCACACTTGATTACAGACTCATCTTTTCCATAGTCCATTATTTGATTCGCGATAACTTTTAAATTGGGATATTTTAGATAAACGAACTCATGATCTTGCGCAAAAACTTTCGACAAAAAGTAAAATGATGTCAAAAAGTTTTTCTAAAACATTCCTATCTAAAAGTTATCGTGTATCAAATAATTGACTATGGAGAAGATGAATCTGTAATCAAGTGTGACTGAAAAAGCTTTTAGAATTTTCGATTTGGTAATATGCATATTTTATTGTTTACAAAATGACAAATTGTAGAGATTACTAAAACTGTGTATCATACATAATGCTCTGTTATTAGAAAAATCGTTTTAAATCTATACAATATAAAAAATATTTAGTGGATCTTCTATAATTTTCGAGAGATCTTTAGAAAACTCTCAAAAATTCGTTAGCAATTCGGTTACTAATTAGGAAGCTCTGACAAAGTGTTGTTGTTATATCTAACTAATTAATTTAACTATCGACTTCTACTTGTTTTATTTTATACTGATGTTTATAGAATGACTCAAGTATTTGTTTCATTGGCTATTTTTATGATTGTCTTTGTCATTGCTCTTAGTAATCCAAAAGTATGTGTTATTGAATTTTTTAGTATAATTTCATTAAATATTCATCTTTCTTAATTTATTTAGAGTTTTAAAAAAATTCTTGAACAAGCTGGATCGTTCTTTGGAAATGTTGAAATGGGTATATTTTTAAGTATAATGATATATAAAGTGACATCTCCAAAATTTGGGTAGGTATTTGAGATTAAAGTTTAGAAATTGACAGATATCTTATTTTAAAATTTAAATTCTTCTTTTTATTTATATCGATACATTTCTCTTTATATATCTATTTTTGTTTTGCTTAAAAGATGTTATACAATTCCATATGAATTACCAAAATGGTTTTTACATTTACAATATATTATTCCATTTTATTTTACCTTTGCTGTTGTCTATGATATTTATTATATGTTTCGTTATTATATTTATTGAATCTCAATAAGAACAGTGACTATTATGTATTTTAATGTATTTTATTTTATTTTATTGTTTTTATTGTTAAACTGACAATTATTTATTTTTATTTTGTTTTAATCTCATTTATTGATGTAAAAGTAGAAAATCCAAAAGATACAAGCCACAAAAGTGGATCGAGGATCCATATACATGTGATCACTGTAAAAAAAAGAGAAACAAACACTTAACTATTGCAGATTCGCTAACCCATACTAAATAGTACAAGAGGATTATTTATTTATTTATTATTTATTTTTATTTACTATATGCTCGATATTTATTACGATTTTTTTATCTATTAATTTTCTTTATTGTTTTAAATGTATTTTATTTTTTAATTTAGCAAACAGTGGTATGGTCATCAATTTTTTTTTTTGTTTTTATTTATTTATAAATTCTAGTGTGAACTTCACTCCAGATGGTATTAAAGAGAATAACAAATTGTCTAGCAAAGGTTATTAGAGAGTTATACAATAAACTCTTTTACTTTTTAGATATCATTTTGAGTGCATAAATCCCTATATGAATGTATAAGTTCTTTACAGATTAATTAAGAATTAGCAATTGTACGAAGATCAAGTCAAAGTATCGAGTTAGTTTTTTACTGAAATAGTAAGAATTTTTTATTATCTATATCAAGCATAATAGAAAATTGTGTGTCTATTTTTTGTTTTAATATTGAGAATTGTTTTTTTTTCGTAGTATAAGCAGCTATCGAACAATGAACCAGAGAGGTCCACCAATCGGATTTGAAAGAGTCGTTAAAGCAGAACCCATAATTGGCTGGAATATAATTACAGATGACGACGAGATGAATGAAAATGCAAGTCAAATTGTCAACAGATCACTTTACCCAATAGGTAATTAATGTGAATTAGCTTTAATTTGGACCTAATATTTATTCGTCGACACTTTTGATATCTCCTATTTTGTTAACTAGGACATAATCATTGCTTGACCAACATCACATTTAAAACGATCTTTATGTTTTTATTTTAGGAGATCAAATGCCTTCTCCTAGTTATTCTTGGGATCCAGCATTAACATTTAATTCTCAAATTGGTCAGAATACTTATCATTCGATGCCTCAAGAAACCTCAGTATCGAATAAAACAATAAATAGGAAATATAGTTTGGATTTAAATCAATCTAGTAACCCACCATTACAATTTCTATCTCCGCGCAGTGATCAATCGCCTTTTTCTTCTCATCATTCCAGTTCAGATAGTTTATCATCGAGTATGAATAAAGCAAGACATTTGACCTTTCCTCAATGTATTAAAATCTACAATGAAATAACAAATATCTGGCCAATGCAACGATGGCTCACATTCAATGATAGTAATGAACAAGAAACATTTCTTAAATTAAATTGTCCACAGTCGATGACGATACAAATGGCTATTGATAAACATTGTTTCTTACCAGAAGAACGATCATTAAACACATTACCCAAACTTTTATTAATTAAAAATATTCAACAAAATTCTAAAATATTTGTTACACCAAATTCCTCAATATCATTAAAAAATTTAGTTTCAAATGAGACTGAAACTGATGATTTACTAATGTATAAATTACTGGCAATTATATGTGGAAATGATCCGGAGATGATGTTTTATCGAGAGCCAATAACAAACTATTGGTATCATTATAAAAATGAACAACAGCAAGCCAATTCAACTATTAGATTATCAAAAGAAAATGTTCTAATTTTAAATGACATAATTCAGAATCAAACTGGCAAAATTCCTAATTTACACAAGCTTAATAAATCATTAGCGACTATATTCACAACTCCTCAATTTTATGTTTATCAACCAACTACATGAATACAGGCTATCTTTCGAACAGTACATTTGAACAGTGTTTCAAAAATTTGAAACTTGAAACACATTTTTTCTGCTACAAAAACATTGGTCATTTTGCGTTAATGGTATTTTAAGGTACGATCTTTGACAAAAAATTTATTTAATAATGACAATTACTGATTGAACTATTTTGTTCTATATAAGATAAAGTTGTTGTTTTGTTTGTTATTTTTTTAAACGCCATAAGCGTGACCAGTCAAACCACAAGGCATACCTCATATTATAGTCTTCTATAATGACGTCACAACGATTGTTTATCGCGAAAACAATTCTCTTTATATTATATTATTTTTAATGTTAATTATACTCAGTAGTACGAAAAATTTGTCTCGATATATCTGCTCAACTCAATATTTTTTTTCTCTATTTTCTGTTTTTGGAAGAATATCGTGTTCAAACATGAACAACTTTTTCTTCTCAAAAAGAAAATCAAAAGTTTATGTCAATATTTTTGTGCCTTATTTTTGAATTTATTTTACTATGACCTAATTTTTGTGTGGCATTTATTATTTTTTACTGTGCATATGATAATGTTTAAATGATCCGTCCAATATTTGATAATGAGCATTATTTTTTGTGCTAAATGAAAGAAAGAGAGAATTTATTTGATATATCTTATATTTTTTAAATGTGCAAATGTAAGACATATTTTTTGTTGTTTTACAATCTCATTCAGTGTATCCTTTTTGAATTGTACGTAGAAGATGATTTTCTTTTAATATTGATCAAATATAGTTCTGAATATTTTATTGTGATATCCACTTTTTATTATCGTACGCATCTTATTATCATAATTTTTTCTTTAATATTTCATAGTTTTTGTTCACAAATCTTTTATGCCTAACCATTTTTACTTACAAAGTTATATATGTATGTATGAATTATTCAAAGTATATGGAGTTTCTGTATGAATCAAATACTGTCTGTATTTAAAGATTATTCTTTTTTTTTGGAAGAAAAAATCTTCACAATTTTACAGTTTTCTGGTATCAGACAATTATAAAATTGCATCCAATAGCGCTTTGTTTGAAAGTATATAAATTTACTCATAAATAAAATTCGAGAAAAGATGAAATTTTCACATCGAGAAGGATGAAGGTAGTACTCTTAAATATAATCTTAGTTATTGTTTTTTAGATGGATGTTAATAGTTGTCCACGTTGTAGATGTTATATATTTGATTGTGCATGCTCTCCATTATCAACGTCGGACAAAACACAATCTTTACAAAGTAAAAGTTTGAATCTCAAGATCATATTGACATACAAGTACATCATTTACTTTTTTAGATTCAAATAAGTCAACAAGTAGCTTAGTAACAGATGCAAACATGGATTCTCGAAATGGTAAGAGCAAAATATTTTTGTTTAATCAAATAGTTTATGATTTACTACTTGATGTTGTTTATCAATCATATCTTTTTAGTTCGTAAATCGTATTCGTCTGATTACGCTAGTCTAATTCAATTTTTGAAAAACGAAGTTGACAATGAAAGTGCAACGTCCACTTTACAAACAAACACATCACCTTCTATTTCAGAAATATCTGACGAAAATTTCATTCACATGCCAGTTTCAACTCCTCAACATCGATTACAACATCAACAAAATATTTCATCTTCCTCAATAAATAATAATATCGAAAATTTATGTAAATGGTATCTGGATTCAAGAAATTATTCAAAATGTTTACATTTAGGTATGTTTGATGATGTTTTTTTATTTCTATAAAAATTTTCTATATTTTTATTTAGATAGTGGTCTATGTGATATATTAGATCTTTATCGTATTAAAGAACGAACAATTCAAGATATTATTGCTGAACAAAACATCGATTCAATTCGTATTCTTGAATCTCCTCAAGTATTACCAATTAAAATATCTGAATTATTCAAAAGAGAAAATAGTTATATAATTCCAAATGATGTTATTGATATTCGATCATTACTGACTAATTATGAGGGTGCACACTGGTTTAAATTAGAGGCCATTTTATGTACACACAATAAAAATGATATTTTATATTATAAATATTCAAAAACAAAACAATGGTATTATTATCAATCAAAAACGAAAGATCTGGTAAAATTAGACGATAAATTAAATAAACAAATCATTCGATTATGTACAAATACATGTGCAAAAGATGTTGAATCTGTGGGTTTTCTTATCGATATATTACTAACAGATGCCGTTAAATACTTTTATGTACAATCAAAATAAACTTGTAATATTGAAATATTAAATATTTCTATTTTAGTAATAACTGTGATATTATCAAATAAATAAATTGAAAAATATGATAATTTAACAGGTACTGACTTGTGCATAATTAAATCAACGCTTTAAACTCGGATTCCATTATTTTGTTTTTGATGTACGCATTTTTCTTACTTTAGAGATGTTATTTATATTTATAGTTCCGCTATGATCATTACTTTGTTATTTTATAAATTGTACATAAACGTGTCTGTATTTTCTTTAAGTTTATAATAATTTTAGTCTTGAAACAGAAAATTTTAATACATTAAATGGGAATACGAATTTCCTCGACACATATTTTTGTATTTTTAAAATATTTTATTATTTGTTATCAGATATTTCTGATGTATTTAAAGTTCTCTCTTTCGTTCACTAACAAATTATCTCCTAGAAGTCTAATTCATCTTGAAACAATCAGATGACGAGAATAGGAGTGCTAGTCATCTTGAAATGCTTTATTAAGTGAGTGATGCTCTTTTTTATTTTAAAAAGGTACTGTATAACTTTTCTTTAATAATATGACAAAAAAACTTTTTTCACAGTATTTTAGAGATCTTAATATTGCCGATATTTTTTTAATTTATTATATTTGTTTTTGTATGTTTATATTTAACTTATTATTTTTATGGAACTAAACGTTGGAGATATTGTTAAGTGCCCATATCAACAGGCATGGTACAGTTATCTATATCAAACTCAAAACATTAATCGTAAAATTTCTTTGTTCTAGTGTCCGTTGGATAGGTGCAGTGCAAAATTTAGAAATGGTTGGTTTAAGTTTAACAGATGGTACTCTAGTAGGTAAAGAACTTAAAACATTCATTTATTGATGGTGAGCATAGAGGACGTCAGTTTCTTTTTAACATAAGAAATGAGGAGAATTATCAACTGAGTAGAACCAACAGAAAATGAAAGGAAAACCATGACGTTATAAATGAACTAGTAATTTTATTTTCTCATCGCTGTTTAGTTTAAATTTATTCCTTGTTCTAGGCTATACAGATGGTATTTGTCCAATAGATAATGTCAAATATTTTGATTGTAAACCTCAAACAGGTTTTTATATTATGCGTACAGTGTTGGATAATACATATGAAATTAAAAAAATCCACAATGGTTCAAATGCTCTGTCAGAAGATGAAAATTTTGATAGTGCAAGACAATCATTGGATAGTGACACAGGAGAAGATTTAACCACAATACCAACAGAAAAGTTAGTAAACGCTTATCATCTGCCGTTGTCAGGATTTCCGATTAGCTTTGAGAGTGAAAGGGGCTATTATTTGGCAGAAAGCAGGTCCGAAAAGGAGAGGACCCAATTTTCTTTGATTTTGGACCACTGCTTTTTCGACTTATTTTTGCTCAGATTTTGTAGAGAAAACGATTTTACACATTTTTAACTGCATATGTACCATTATAACCTTATGGAGAAGTTTTAAATTAGCGTTTCTGAGGAGATATATAAAGCACATCGTTGCTTAACAAAAATGATTCTTTTCAAAATCTAATATGAAGTTACGGTAAAGCTTGATATAGAAAAATAGCCAATGAAAAACTGAACAAACTAATACATGGATCATAACCACCCACTGTATATTTAAGGAGAAATGGTTTATTTTCGAACATCCTCTATCTAGTGATCGTCCTTCAGTGATCATTTTCCCCCATTTTAGCCCATAAATATGAGTGCATTTCCTTAATTTTTCTTGTATTTGAATTATAACGGATTGAGCCAATGGTATGTAGAGTTTGTTTATTCAGAATATTGTAGAGCTTTTCAAGAGCTATTTTTCTATACTAAAGACTAGTTGCATCCTCTGTTATTTATGGGCTGAAATGGGGGAAAATGATCGCTGAAGGACGATCACTAGATAGAGGATGTTCGAAAATAAACCATTTCTCCTTAAATATACAGTGGGTGGTTATGATCCATGTACTAGTTTGTTCAGTTTTTCATTGGCTATTTTTCTATATCAAGCTTTACCGTAACTTCACATTAGATTTTAAACAGAATCGTTTTTGTTAAGTACCGATTAAAGGCCTATGCAACCAAACTTTTTTGGTCCCGGTCCCGTGAAGAAAAAAAATTTTGGTTTCGGCTCCGGTCCCGTGGAAACAACTCGTTTTTGGTCCCGGTCCTGTGATCCCGTAAATATTTTTTCAAAGTAGCGCTGATAGTTTGAAAGTCAGCACGTTGTAATGTAGCACGTGAAAAGACCATGTGTAGGTGGTATTAATTGAAGACTTTTAGAATTTTCTATGAGTTCTTTCTCGCAGAACTGGTGTCTACATACAAACAAGCACAGAAACTTAGAAATTTTTATGCCCCATACAAAACTATTTTCAGAAAAACCTGATCCCGGTCGTATTAAAAGTCCTGCGGCACCGGGATCATCGCGCAGAACTAGGACCGCCCCGCAGATCTGTAGGCCCCGGTTCCATGAAGTTTGGACCCGATCCCGTAAAAAGTCCCGTGAGACAGAGACTGGGACGCAGACCTCTAGGACCGGTGTGCTCTATGTACCTCTTCAGAAAAGTTAACTTAAAAATTCTCTCTAAGGTTATAATGGTACATATACAGTTAAAAATGTGCAAAATCATTTTCTCTACAAAATCTGAGCAAAATTAAGCCAAAAAGCAATGGTCCAAAATCAAAGAAAATTCGGCCCCCTCCTTTGGGCAGAAAGTCAGTTTTATTTCCTATTGAAATAACTAATAAAAATGCTATACTACCCTAGTTGAAACTCCCCCGGACTCCTGTCACAGGATCTCGTAAAGGATCGTGTGGGACGTTTAAGGGATCCCTCATGACTCCCGCGGGGCTTAGAACACTCTTTAGTTCCATAGGAGTCTATTAAAAGTCCCGCGGCTGTCATGATGAGTCCCTTAAAAGTCTCATCCGATTTCCCACGGGATCCCGTGGCAGGAGTCCTGGCAGAGTTTTGTCGAAAGCGTCAACTAGGATAAGATGTCCTCGTTACATTATTTTACTTCACGTAAATTGACGCCTCTTCTGTAAATTGAAGAAAGATACACCTTATTCGGTACGGTTCTAATACTACTTAAATAGAAAAAAGAAAGTACGCAGAAAAAAGAGAAATAAGGTGTGCAACTGACATTTTACCATTAAGCGAAATAGAAAGGTTAAAAAGTGGGCATTATAGGCTTTGACAAACTTTCCCGATTTGTTCAATTGCTGCAATAGAGCGAATAATATAGCACATTGTGACTAGCGCAAAAAAAATCCTTCTTTTACCAGCAAATCTCCAAAAAGTTTTCAGAAAAAGTCATCAAATTTGGAAGGAGAAGTACCCTTACTCACTCCGGAATCGGAAACCCTAGTCGTAGCATAGTTCTAATATTTCATCCCATTAGTCCTTCGAGTTCGTTTATGTCTTCAAGTCGCAATGATAGGTTTCGTCCAAAAAACACGTTGAACCCGTCATCTCCAACCACACCCGGAATTGGTTTTCTTCGACGCATTTTAACAACGGAATCGCAATCACAAGATGATAACAGTCCTAGAACACCGGCAACTATTGATAATCTAACCACATCGCCTCCAACATTTTCCACTCGTTTATCTTTGGGTTCCTTCACATTACCAAATGCAACAAATACTAATTATTCATCAAATTCGCATACTGATGGAAATATTCTATTACCAAACACTTCAAATGATGAAATAAAAAATTTCCATCAACATCAGTTTGAACAAAAAATCACAAGAGAGTCTACAACATATTCGTTCTATGATCAAGCCAATGATGATGATGATGAAAGTGATAATTATAAAAATAAACCGGTTTATCGTCCAGAGAATTATTCGTCAAATCATGAAGGTGAATTGCAATTATATGAATGGACGGTACAAGAACAAAATGACGATCTGGCATCAACTAGTCCCGATATGGATGAACTTCAATATAATGATGATACAAACCATTATAGTCTATTAGGCGAGTAGAACATTATGCAGTTGTTGTAAGAATTCGACATATTCGTGTTGTTTATATTTAGGTAGTGATTATTTTCTTGATGATATGGATTTATTCCAGTTAAAATGTTTATTAAATGAAATTTCTCAAGATTCAAACATATGTCTGAATATTCATGAAAACAACTGTTCTGTTCAAGACATAATTGATGAGCAAATCAACAGTCTATTGCCGCTTTCTACTGACGTACACATCGATCTTAAAGTTGAAATAATTAGATTATTTGGTTCTATCGATTGTATTTATCCATCGCGTACCATTCGAATGAACAATCAAGATTATTTGTTGTTGGCCATATTGTGTGAATCTAAACAGAAAAACAGTGCCTTTTTGCGAACAACACACGGTTGGGTGTATTCAGATGATAAAACAGAACCATATGTTGTTCACAATGTAACAGCTTTAATCAATGGTCAAAAGAATATCATTGATAATAATGATCAAAATCGACTCTGCCAGTATTTACTCAAACACAGTTGTTTTCTTTATTATAAACTAGTTTGATTGTATACACATGTCTAGTAGAGAGGAATAGTGCACTTTATTTTTATTAATTACTCCGACTATTGTTCTGTTTCATTGTTGTTCTATCACTTTGTGATAAAAAATGCAAATATATCACATTAATTTTTCCTTTTGCCTAGAAGTTAAACTTCTTTCATGTGTAAATAAATCTTTTCTTTCTATCAACGAGCGACATTATTTCTATTTTGCTATTGGTTGATTAACTGATCAAACAAAAACAAGGATAGCCACACATCAAAAGAGTAAAAAAAGAACAGAATAAACAAGACAACTAATATAACGTTAGGACCGAAGTAATAAAAAAGAAAAAAAAATGACTATAGAAACGTATATCTGCGAAAGACGTTCCATGACTTTGAATCAAGACAACGCTTCCACCTCCCTTCGGTCGGTGTTCGCTAAGAGACTATCCAAAATATGTTATGAAGTTTTCTTTAACTTGACGTGTAAGCTTCGTAATCTAGTATACGTCTAAAAAGTTATCTCGAGACTCTCCAAAGATCCCCAGATAACTAAAAATATTTCTTAATTCAAGACAATGGTCACGCCTCCCTTTGGCGTATGATGTCATCGACGGTTTATTACTTTTCTGACATGTAGTTACCTATTACTTGACAGAGTAACACCTTCGTCTCATAGGTGAAAGAAAGAATTGACTCATAATAATGAAAGAAAAACAAACATATGTGAATCATATTACGGATTAGGTTTTCTTTTATATAAATAGGCATATATCTGTCGTTGAGTTTAATAAAGCAATAGCCTTATTCACAACAGACAAACAGCAACAGAAATCCTATTCGAACACTGACCATTAAAATTATTAGTGGAATGACAATAGACATGGATTGTGATATTGCAGTTTTTAACGATACTCGTGCTTCAGACTCGATTGAAAACAATGTATATTATGCGAATAGATCGACTAGACTATACAAACAAGTTACAAGTTGTTTTAAAGAAAATAAACCTTGGCGAAAATTTCCTGGTTGTTCAAGGACATGTCGGTGGGAAAGAACAATCGAGAGACGTTTAGCAAGAAAAATAAGACGAATTAGCACAAAACGTATGGCAAATGAAATTAAAGTAGAAACATGTTACGATTATTCAGAAATGAATGAGAGAGACGAATACAATTGAATTTACATCTGAACATCGAATATTATATACGAAAGGGATGTAAAACCACACGTACTCGTATTATAAATGGAAAATAGTTTTGTCTCTGGTGACCACTGCTTATTTCTAGTACGAACAAAGGATGGTGTTTTGAATTGTGTAACAAAAAGAGAGCATATCTTTTCCTTAGTCTCTTTTTAAAAACTTACTTGCTTTGTACGATAAATAATAGCGAATGAACATAAACAATTTCATTTATTTTGTCTTCTATTTTTGTGTATTCACCTTGAAATGAAAAGCGAAGTTACTGATGTTATTTTTTAGTACTGGTTATCCATTATATAGAAAATTGAATAAACGTTGACAAAGATATGAGATATTCATGCTTAATCATTCAACGACAAGAGTCTAGCAGTATTTAAATTGTTTTTTTTTCACCAGTATACAGTATAATTCAAGTAATTACAGTGACTGAACCATACGATAAGTTCAATTTATTTTGTGTCCATGATGTTGACAATGACAGTCGGAATGACAAAAAGTTAAAAAAACTTTTTACTAGGTCACACCATAATGAAAAAAAACAAGAAAGAAGAGAAAGATAGAAAAGAAATTGATTTTGACCAATGGAATAGTAAGGACATTTTGGCTTAAGAAGTTACAATACTTATTCACCGTCTCGAAGTTCGTGCAGAGAAGGCATCGATAATCTCTCTGGGTAATACATTCCACTGTAGTGTAGTTTTGAGTAAGAACGATGAATTTGTAGTGTTCCTTTTAAAGTTTGGTATTAAAATCATTATCGAAAACAACAAAACAGCGGTAATCCAACACAGGCAAGAAGCATATTTTATAGATTTGAAGCCGTATAAACTCCGGCGCATGCTTGGAAGTTCTATTAATGGATCCTAGCATTTGTCTGCAATTTTTAGTATTTTTTTTCTATGATAGTTCCACATCAAATCTGGTGAAAGATGTATCCCCAAAGGTACAGAAATAAGAAATTAATTTAGGGCTTTTTTTGTAAATTCTGTAACTTTGCAATGAAAGGTCATGTAGAGCTGGGAGATGTCTCATTTTAATCAGAAATGTGCGGGCTACAATTATGCCTCACTAAGAAAAGATTTGGTTATTTTTTAGAGTTTGTAAAATTCTGGTTTTTCAGAAAACCAGTCTCTGGAAGCCCGTATCATGTTGATATTTGGAATCAGCATGGTCGGCTACCTATAGTCCACTAGCTTTCGGCTCGAAGCGATTTGACAGTTGGGAACGTTCTCTCGTAAGAAAATTTGTTGCTCCATACATGAAAAATGCAACTATGTATATACACATGTCACAATACGAGAAAGCAGAATGACATCATAAGAACTAAACAGAACATGACGTCAGAAGAACAGAAAAGAATATGACGTTTACTACTGACCAGACTAATGACGTCAGTATAACAGGACATAACATGACGTCAGAAGAATAAGAAAAGGACAAAAGTTACTAGAGTCTTAGCGTACAGCGTATCTTCTGTATTTCACATACGACAAGACAAGATGCGCACATATATGTTCACATTCAGATTTCTGTATGCGACATTAAAAAGAAGATAATGTGCTATTAGCACACCTTAAAGGCTCTACTTTCTCTTTTAGCATATCTTATCTTTTTCTTGATGTCGCATGCAGATCACCCTTTCCTCTCTGTATGTATCCTTATGTCTGGCATACAGATATCTGCATGCGACATAAAAAAAGGTAAAGAGAAAACTCTACTATAAACATATATAATCTGCATATGTCATCATATCATAACATGTGATGTGAACAAAAGGAAGAATCGAGTACAGTAAAAGCATCTCGGGTAAGAGAAGAACTATTACTTTACACCTCCTCACAGCACACTGGTGCACACTGATAGTGCTACACCGATTTTTACCAGTGCCGGTCGCATTAGAATATTTTTTGTAGGGAACGACAATGTGGACTCGCGAATTATTATTCATCTATACTCTTAAGAATGCTCGCTACAAGGTGGCAACATTTCAGGGTATGGCAGGGCGAGTTTCGTCTCTCAAATTATCTTTTGTATACAGTGAATAATCACAATGAATTCAGATCGCATTCAGTTATTTGAATAGAGCGAACACATCAATAATTCTTCCTATTAACGATAATCGGAATCTGTTGTTATTTGCTAGATTTGATTTGTAAACAAATCAGTCAAGTGGTGAATGTCACCGAGTTTATGCCAGACAAGTGTGGATAGTCATTGTAGATAGATGTTTATTTGCTGTGGGAAAACAAGATGAAACATCAAACATCATGTTTAAATATCAGTATAGTGGAATTATAAGTAATATATACTTACGAAAGATCAATCTATTTACTTTGTGCTTGTATAGTTTAGATATGATCCATCGTTGCAAAATTGGATTTGTATTATATGAACATCTATAAAACGTTTAGGTGTTGCATTAGTTGTTTTAGATGGTTTTCTATATACTATAAAAAGAACAGATAGCCAATGTCCACTACATACAGGCACTGAGACAGAAAAATGAGACATACTTGTGCTCTTAATTCGAACTATTTTTTGCTATATGCAAAATAGTTTTGCAAACTGAGCGAACAATAAAAGATCGTGTCATATCAAACAATTTATAGAATTTTCTATTAATTGAAGTTAGACATGAACATAAACGCATGCTTTTTCAGTTTGAAATATTCTACATTTTCTCTTTGTCGTTAAACGTTATGATCCAAAGACTAGTAAATGATTAGTAGCAAAATGTTCAGATGTCGACTGTAACTGGAATAGAATTACAAAAGGTTCGTCCTGAAGCAGTAAAGTATGTTCTTTTTCTTATGATGAACATATCGCTGAAACAGGTTTTGAAAAAACTTTTTCTATTTATTTTGCAACAAAAGCGTACTCGAATCAGTTGTCGACTTTCCTCAAGATGTTGTGAAAAAATTACCTCACGTATGTATTTTTTGCTTTAAGAATTAACTTTCTCACATTTAAAGCCGATGTTGATCTATTTAGTACTAATTTCTTTATATTGACTGCAAGACATAACCATGAATCGCAGGATACTAAGCCTTGTTTCTCTTGATTCAGATTTACTTTATTGAAAGTAAAAGTGAAATGTTCAATTTGATTTAGTTTGTAGTTTTATTGAAAATCGGAAGAAAAGTAAACAAAGAACAATTTTCGCTAATTTTTTAAATTTAGTTTGCTATGCATACACAATAAATCGTCTCTTAGATAATTAACTTTGAAAATGCCATATTCTTTCCCTCATACCGTTAATTTAATAGTTGGTTCTTACCTCGGTATTGGCTACATTTTATGTGGTGGTGTTCGGCATGCAAATAATAATGAAACGTTGCCAGAATATGAATTGACTAGTGGTGGAAATGCTAGTGCTTCTGCTGAAGGAGCAGTAGCAAGTGCAGGTAGTGTTACTTATTCTAAACGCTTTTTCCTTCAAAATCAACATCCATGTCTGTTTTTTACCACTGTTAGGGACAACTGCTCTACTCCCTGTTCGTTCGTTATTACAACGTTCAAAAGATACTGATGAGGCGCGTAAACAAATGTGAGCCATAAAATTTGTATGTGGCAAGCTATTTCCAGCATAAGCAGGATTTAGACAGAGTAAACATTTTTGACCCGACTCGAATTTTGCTTCACTGGCTGGAAAAAGCTGTGACTCGCCCATATCTGTGATATAGCCAGGAGTACCAACTGTAAAATCTACAGTTCGGAAAAAAATCCGTTAAATCGGCAAAAGTCGAAGGAAAGGTATTAAAAATCGGAAGAAGGATTTTTTCCAGAATACTTAAGAAGGTAAAGATATCAGGCAA